TCAGTTTTGAAATTTAGTTGGATAATGTCAAAGGCAGTGCCTTCGATTATTATCACAAAATAGTTAACTAGAAATGTGAGCCTATTTCGTGCATAAATAGCAATGAAAGTGGTGTTTACGCTTGAAAGTCGATGTAGTTAACATCTTGCAATAATGCTAGTTCGGTTACTGAAGTGTTTTTAACAGGTATTTGTAGTTAGGCAAGACCTGAAAATGGGAGCTGGAAAGATTGCATCTCAATGTGCTCGTGAGTGTATTCCCAAATGTTGATTTGGTTGTTTTCCTTTGGAAATTTAAGAAATATATAATTGTTGTTTTTTTTTTTTTTCATCAATGTGACCTTTTGCGTGCTGTGTAGATGCTGCTACTGGCATGTATTCCGAGCTGATGCAAAGGTTTATTTTCGAACTCGATTCTGGTGTTGTTTCTTATTGAGGTTTTTAATCAATTCTGCAATGTTATCTGGCATATACCAACAACTCCTGTTATGTAATAATTATTAACTCGTGCGATGTTTTAATCACTCAATTCATTCGACTATAATCTACCTCGGAAAGAGATAGATCACAAGTTGCAGCCTTTTCATATTTCAAAGGTTATATATTTTGAGTTAACTTCGTTTGCTTTCTCATGGAGATCGATGAATAGTGCATTTTAGTGCCCTCTCTTCATTTTTTGTTTCATTTGCATTTATTTTCGTAATCATAATAGACGTTGGACTTTGTTTTTTCATGCTTCTAAGTTCTAATTGAACTTTTAATTAGGATGTGTTATTTAATACAGCAATCGGTACGTTCTGAGGCAATGGGAGCTTTGCGGGCAGGCAAAAATCGTCGTTACATGCAAGAATCAGCAAGAAATGTGAGCAATATATGTTTAATAGTTTGTTGAGGTAAAATCTTTTAGGGGATAATTATGAAAAAGGCCCTCGAGTTCTGGCCAAGTCACAAAAGAGTCTCGAAGCTAAATATGTCTGTGCTTCATATATTGCTTGAAATGCAAACCTCAAGCTTTCGAATAATCACTGCCATTTTGTACTCATTCCCTCCCTCTTTATTAGATAGATTAAAATACTTGAGGTATTTTTATTTTTTTTTTAAATTGTGCATTAATATATGTTTTATCATATAAGGAATAAGCTGAAGGATGCAGCTGAGAGTATTGGCCTTCCAACTTTCACAGTTGCTGATGCCGGGCGAACCCAGGTAGTATTTCATTTAAACTATACAATACTGCAATCTATCTTCTTGCATTTTTTTTTTTTTTAATTTTACATAAGATTTAGTGTAATCGACAAAAAGTCCGAGCATACTTAGAAGTTAGAAGTTAAGGGCGTGCTTGGATATAAATATATCCGCTCAAAATGAGTTTTTTTAGTTAACTAGGGTTAATTTGAAAAAGTTGGTATGATTAGTTTTAGTGGGATTTTGAGTTTATATTAAAATAATATTTAAAATAAAATAATTAAAGTTGATTTGATGTAAAATTAGGAGAGAGATGATGTGTAATAATGGTTAGTTAAAATAATGGGAGTGACTGAATAGTAAATTATCATAGTTCAAACATTTCTTCATCTAGTTCATATAGTTCGTGTTACAAACTGATGTGATGTGATGTGTAAGAACGATTGTTTGATATTATTTAATTATATTGAAAATATTGAGAACGGTGGAGTTGAGTTAGATTTTGAGTATGGATTGAAAAAATATATAAACGAACACTCCCCAAGTAATGTACGCACTTGACATTGCTTCTATTTCGCAACAGAGTAGTTTTAATTAGACTAATCTTTAATATCCTCTTTTATATTTATCGGGTTTAGTTTCATGATTTTGGCTGTTTGGTGTGCAGGTTTCAGCTGGATCGAAAACAGTCCTTGCTATTGGACCTGGTTAGTTCCTTATCTAATCCTCTCTTCTTTTTCTTTAAGCACACTTTTTTTTTTCTTTTTCTCTAAGAACTCTTTTTTTTCTTGTTAAGTTTTACTCTTATGATCTGTTCTTCATGTGTTTCAATACCAAACAAGCATCAAGCACAAACCACTGATAAATGGAAACTCTAAAGTGAAAATTTATCAAACATATTTTGTTTACTCTTCAGATATTTAAGTATACTTAAGACCCCTCTGAACAGTTTACCGGAATACGAGAGCTTCTTATTCGCATCATTGAATCA